GGGGGGGGGGGGGGGGGGGGGGGAACTAATTAAGAAGAGATATATGAACCACGCATTATCTGAACGTACACAAACTCGACTATTTATCTAAACGTGAATACACGTTCCCAACAAGTCCACCCAACTATATGAACCAGAAGGAATGGACTTTGTATGGTGAAAGCATATTTAACCCTCTTGCCAACCTCTAAAGCAGCAAATGGTCTTTTTTGTGCTGTCCCACCTCTATGCACATAAAGCACCAATTCACCTATATCCTTCTCCTCAAGTTGTCCGCTATCAACATAGTTTTCTGAGCAGGCACTTGAAAGAGTGAGCCTCTCCTTTGCTGACACGAATGCAGATCTCCCACTTTAGGTGCTACCAAGCATCCTCCACACCACCTCAAGAAACATTTCAAAGTTTTTCTTTTTGGTTAGTAAACTTGAAAGTTTAAATTGGCAACTATATTCTATTCTTTGTGAGATGTTGTACTCTAAGATCAAGGCATGTATGCCTTATTAAGTAAAAAATTCAAAGGAAAATTTCAAATAATAGTGTGGTGGCATTAAACAACCAGCGATAGACATCCACTTCTCCCATTTGAAAAGGGTGGCAAATTATGCACGTTTTGGAACATAAATCTACATAGAAACACATAACAGTCTCCTCAACACAAATCAGAGCAGATATATATTGCTATGGACCAGCAAAACCAAAATCCAATACAAATGCACCAAATGATATTATATCGAATAGGAATTCACCTAACCAGGCAATTCGCTTTTCACATTCTTCTTCTCATCCACCCTACCCTTCTTAAACAACCTTGGCCTTGTCTTCATGGGCTTCAGAAAACAAGCTTGAAACCTCACCATAGCTCTTAAAACCTCAACCATCCTCAACTCAATCACATCCCCGTTCGACTCGAGAACCCGTAGACACCGTGCCACAGCCTCCATTGTACTCATACACCCAATAAATGGTTCCTTCCTAAGAATCAAATCTGAATCAAATATTGTCCCACCATGAACCCCGACGTCATAATTTAAACAAACCTGAATAGCAAACTTTGATAGAAATGGTACACTTGCATGTACCATCTCTTTGGCATGCTTCCAAGTCCCATCAAAAGCAATCAAAACGTGATTATTTAAATTAGCATCACCAAATGAATATTTCCACTGATTTATCTCCACTGAAGGCAATGTCCCCGTACCTGAAAAGTGATAAACTAATGAGTCATACATATAGGGCCATGAAAACACAAAAACAGGAACCCCTCACAATCAATTCAACATGAAGAAGTATATGCACAACATCTAACAAATTAATATTTCATCAAATAACTTTTGAAGAGCTCTCAACTGGCGAATGAATATATGGCTACAAATCAGCCAAGTCTCAAGACAATTAGCATGATGCTCAATATAAGTTGGAAAAATGGAAAGCACCAAACTATGATGATTATTACTCAGTAGTTGTCTTTCAAGTGATCTCGATTGTTCTTTGAGCCAGTCTAGGCTGAAGCTTGAGTGTTAAGGAATTTTGTGACAAGCAATCATGAATTTACCAATCGGATGAGCTCAACTCGAAATAATTAGGAGCTGCAAGAAAGAATCAAACATACAGTTTTTCTTTATATTATCTCAAACCACGTATAGAGAACCTAAAGGCATGTTGACTAACAGCACATTACTACGATATCTCCCATAAACTTCTTATTGTTTAATAAAATTATACTGGACTTATCCTTTTTCCTACCGGTGACCAAAACACTCAATTTTGTGAAGCCAGCCTTTGAATGTTAATGCATACAACTGATTTTTTTTTTTTTCATTTTTTTACATCATTTGACCAATTTAATTGAATGACAGCTAATCTTCCATAGTCCAAACTAATGAAACAGAAATGAAACTAGCCTAGTTATTATAATCCTAACTCGAATCCAAACTTACATAAAATTTTCACAAGATTTCAAAGAATTCCAGAATGAATGAATTAAGTCAATTTCTTTCTGAAAAAGTTCTCGAAAGAATTCCAACACTTCCACATTTGTGCATATTTGGGGTGTTTTAACTGCTTGACTTAATAGAAACTAGTGACAGGTTTCAATTTTAAATCATTTGGCCAGATTTCCATTGAATTCGATCAAAAACATCCACATAGTCCACCATTATTCAATTACAAAACTGATTACTGGCCCATTTTCCGAAATCCCAGTTTCTACAAATAAAAAAAATAAATAAATTCTGTGAGCACTGTATGAAGTGTGTGTTAATCTTTCAACTATATGAAAGATAAAGAAGATGTCGTACCCGGAAAGAGAAAGAGAGCACGAAGCGGTTCATTAGGCTTTTCAATCGCATCAGTATATAGAGAATCCAGAATACTTGAATCACCATAACTTAACCTACGTCCAATTATGATTTCGCAGTTCCACAAACATTTTTGGAGCACAGGTACTGTGGCGAGCTTGTGGCGTCTTTCGTGAGGGTGGTGTAGAATAACCACTTGGGTGCATGTTGAAATGGGCTCGGTTGGGATGGTCTTGCACAGGCACACGTTTATCGGTCTGTCACAGCCTCTAGTGCATATTTTACGCAGTGTGTGGTGGTTGTCACTGGCGGTCGTGGTGGCTGTGGCGTCTAAGTCGAAGAGGTCGAGGTTTGCTATGAGGTCTGATAGTTCCGCCATGAAATTGGGCAAGCTACGGTGTCGTTTTCTTGTAGAGGTTAGCGGAGCTCTTAATAAATGGAGGTAGCCCTGCAGGAAAAAAAGAAAAATTTATACCATAGTTTTAAAACCCGACTGAGACATCAACCTGACAAATTGATAGGGTCAATGGGTCATTGGTTCAATAGTTGGGTTGTTGGACTGGTAAAATAATAAAAAATAATTATAAATTATAAATTATAATAAATAGGCTAAAAAATAACAATAATTATAAAAATTGCATCTAAAATGTAAAGTTAAGTAAAAAAAATTATTCAACATGTATCCAAAATTCCAAATTCCAATGCATTCAATTTCCAATACAACTTGTAAAGTTAAGTAGAGAAAAATACCTCTATTTAAGTTCAAGACGCAAATTCCAACTTCCAAGAGCTAGTTGGTGTAAATTGAGATTCAATTGATGTTCCGGAGGAAGACATTCTAATATGAGCATCCAAAACCAAAAACCCACAATTAAACCCCATAACACACCACCTTTAAACTTTTAAAGTATGAACTATGATACATAATGCAACATCATCTCATAATTTCACAGCATAAAAAACCACCATATATCTAGATTCAATTTCAAACTTAAAAATTTCTAGCTTCAATAACATCCCAACAATATTAAAAATAGAGTTTCAAGCTCTTACATCAACAAATGAAAATAATCAAAAACCAATGCATGAAAGACCACCATAAATATGCTCAATTTGCTAAATCTGCTCGAGCTCAACTCGCAACCGTAAGCAAAATAAAAGAAAAAAAAAAAAAGAAAAACTTGCCCTAATTTGCTCAATTGATCAAACAATATGCTCTTAACTATTTATAATCACAGGTTGTAAATTGTAATCACAGGTTGTAAATTGTAATCACATGTTGTAAATTATAATTACTTGATTCTATATACTTAACTATTATAATTGCATGTTTGCTCATAATATTATCAAAGATTCAATGTATAAAGAGAGAGACCGACAGCTAGAGAGTACTCAGAGTAGAGACTAGAGAGAGAGACCGACAGAGAGAATCAAAAATATAATTTTTTTGATCAATTGGGGCATGTACATCAAAAATCATCAAATATCAAAAATCAAAAATATTTTTTTTGCCGATTAGGGCATGTACTGTGTACATGTTAGAGACTACTCAGAGTGGAGAGAGACCGAACGAGAGAGAGAGTATGTAATGTACTACCTGCTGCTGGTCGTCGATGCTTCGATGGGATGGAGCTTTGAAGCAGTCTTCATCCCTTACTTGCACGCAGCGGCACAGAGAGAGAACTGAGACTGAGAGACTGAAACAGAGAGAGAGAGAGAGAGAGAGACTGGGCTGAGAGGATCGTCGACTGGTGCGAAGAGGCAGAGGCTCACTGCTCGCCGGTCTTCGTCTTTCGTTCGACTTGTTAGAGATCTACTGATTTTGGGCAAAATACCCTTAACTTTGCCTTTTGGGGCAAATTAGACCTAGAACTTTCTCGCTTAATTATACAGATCCACTTGTCATTGCCCGTACATGTTGCTTATAAAATTTTAACACACATAGCATGTTTGAATAATTTCAACACACAATAATTAGATTGATTTTAAATATTTTTTGTTGGTATAATTAGTATCTAATTTTTTTCGTATTAGTCACTTATTTTTTTTTAATTACTGATTAACTTGGACTTTGAATTTTATTTTAATTTTCTGAGAACTATAGAATTTCATACAGTAATGATTTATTTTTAGTATGAATAATAACTTGATGATTTTATTTATGAATTATAAAGACAATTTAAACTTCATTGATTGATAAGACGTAAGAAGTAAGAAGTAAACATTAACCATTGATACTAAGATGCGTGATAAGAATATTTACTTATAGTATACTTTAAGTATGAATCAGTTTGTAATAAAAAGAATGAAAAATTATACAGTTAGTATATAATGTTTTTTAATGAAACACAATACCAAAGGTTTTGAAAAAATTGATATACTAAATAACTTACATGTCCAAAAAGTGTGACATTGTCCATTTAAGTACTGATTTTTGTGTTATAGTGATGATGAGTATGCGGTTATTGGGGTGAAATGTCAAACTTTCAAACTTTGAAGAAGAAGCACTAAAATTAGAGATACATTTTTAACATATAACATTTAGATCATTTAATTTAAAATGAATTCAATCTGAATTGTTATTATATTTTTTCAAATTTAAGATAGAAATGTATAAGAGATAGGAGTGTAGAGTCTTATGATAAGAGACTTATTCATGGGCGGGAAAAAAAATTCATGACTAACTGTAGACCGTTAGATCAAAATTTTTGAGATGATCTGAACCGTCTTTTATGTTGGGATTATGTTGTCCGTTGGATGTGTTTATGTTTTGTCTCAAAACAATTTGAACTTCTCTTTGTCTTTTGGATTCAAACTTCATTTTATTTTATTATATAGATATATTAGTCATTACCCGTGCTTGAATGTACTATACAACAAACAAATTCTTTTTAAACAATTGTCCAAATTCAAAAAAAATGGCCTAAAATATTTATACAAAATTTTCTTTTAAAATGACTAAAAATATATTGTCAATTATATCTTCCATATTAATGGAACTGTTATAAAAATATATAAAAACCCTCCAAAATAACATCATATATACAAATGCCTATGAAAAAAAAATACTAATATAATTTATTAAAATTTACAATCTTTAAGTAATAAATTAAATAAATAAAATCTTACTCATTTATAAGACTCACGAATTATCACATCTGCTATCACTTCATCTAATAACACAACATAATTATCAACTCAACTATCATATTTATAATTTATCCTATNCTCTACTATCACTTCATCTAATAACACAACATAATTATCAACTCAACTATCATATTTATAATTTATCCTATCTCCATGTAATAAATACTTCAAACAAAAAAAAATATTAATAGAATACAATTAAATTTACAATCTTTAAACGGTAAATAAAATCAACTAAATTTTGCTCATTTATAAACTCATGAATTTATCATCACTATCACCATTCAACCCCAAAATGACACAATATAATTATAAATTTAATTACTAAATGTTCAATCTTTCACATATAAATATATACAAAAACACGCTCACACATTTATTTTTTGGTTACTAACAAACCCTTATAACCAATAATTGCTTTTATTAGAAATACAACAATTTAAGTTTTTAAGGTAAAATAATAATATATTAATGTTTAATTAAAAAAAAGGGAAAACAAAACTAAAAATCATAGATATTCCCTGAATTTTGGAAATATTACACAAATACCTCATGATATTTTATAAATAACACGAAGACCCCTTGAGATTTGTTATTCATTGCACGGAGACCCCCTCTGTCTCCTTTTCGTCAATATTGCAATCGAAAATTGATAATTTTATCCTAAAATTTTTTATTATTTTTACATTTGCCATTCTCCAAATTTAGTACCAAAAAAATTAAAAATTTAATAAAATAAAATAAAATTTGATTTAGTACTCAAAAAATTGATATAATTTAGTACTCAAAAAATTTGATTAAATAAATCATAATATTAATTTGATATTCGATAAAGTTGAATATAATTAGAGAAAACTAAGTGTCAATTTTTGATAAAAATATATATTAATTTACAATCTAAGGTTCATTTTATGTTAAATATTATTTGGTATTTATAGTGAATGTGCTATTTTTTATTTACATTTAGTATTATTTACAAATTAAGAAGCAAGTGACAAAATACATGCAATCAGGTATATAAAAATTTTGAATTAGTTTCAAGGAATAAATAATTGGATGACATGTAGTTTCATATGTTTTATAGAGTAACTAATAGCAAAAATAGCACAAGATAAAAAAAAAGATAATAGTATGAGAGAAAGAGTGTAAGATAGATAGATAGATAAAGAGAATTATACGAGAGACTTAGAGTTGTAAAAAGAATGAAAGTCTAATCATTACCATCAGATCAAAACGATCTGAGCCGCAAAAAATTGAAGACAAATAATCTAGCTACTTTTATATATATATATAGAGAGAGAGAGAGAGAGAGAGAGAAGATGAGATAGTATATATAAAACGTGTAAGAGATAAGAGATAGAGATAGAGTTATATGAGAGATAGGAGTATTAAAGTTAAGTTCAATTATGACCATCGGATCAGTATTTATGAGATGATCTGAACCTTTTTTTATATTGGGATTACGTTATCCGTTGCCCGTTAAATATGTTTATATTTTGTCTTAAAATGGTCTGGACCCTTTTTTGCCTCTAGATTCAAACTCAGCTATACTTTATTATATAAATAATATTTAAAATATTATATACAGACATCTTAAAGTTTATACACTTAGTCCATGTTGTCCATGTTCGATAGTCCATCCATCAATAAATTATACCTAGACCTTTTGAAGTTTGTAAGTATATAACACTTAAGTTCTTTCAAATTTAAAATATTACATTTACATCATTTATTAGTTACAAAATTTATAAAATCTATTAATGATCAAATTATCTCAATTAAAAATAGAAGATATTGTATCCATTATAATTTGACATTTTATTTAATTTTTTAATTTTATTTCAATAGACAGTATATTATATGCAAATGAGTGTTGAATTGCTTTAATATATTTGTACTGATTATTATATGAAGTTCATATATTTGAGTCACTTATTGGCTTAGACATCGGAGAGTCGACCTTCGAAGCTCCCCTTTGGTCTCTGACTTCTTCTTTAGGTTATCGAGCCCAACAAACTGACACGTAAGTCGTTTAAATTTTGATATCAATAGTACTAATTATGATTTTTAAAGAAAAAATTAAATTTTTATTTTTAATTTAATTTCAATAAATGACATAATAGAACATGAATCTTGGTTTTAAAATTTAAAATATTTGATATTCTATCTTTAATTGTAATATTTTCTATTTAAATATAATATTTTAAATTTGAGGGGTTTAAGTATTACACGTTTACAAATTTCAGAGGGTATATGTGTAATCTACTAACAAATATTATGTCATTTATTGAAATTCACTACTGAAAATAATAATTTCAGTGATTACACACAAAACACTTAAATTATTTTCAGTAGTAATTATTATAGGGGTCTAAGTGTTTCGCATATACAAAATTTAAGTGTTTTGTGTGTAATACTTTAAATGTTAGGAGGTCTAAGTGATTAAGTAACAAATCTTAAAGGTATGAAATATAATTTTTCCTATACAAAATGATATGATCGGCCAGTTTGATTAAAATAGTCCGAGTGGAACGCTTCATTCGGTTTGAGCCGGTTTTGACGTAGAAACGATCTAATGAGTGAATTGGCTTGGATTAGGTACTGATTCATTGAGTCAATTCAATTCACCGGGTCAGTCGGGTTTTAAAACACTAATTTATACCACAAAGTTATTATTTTTAAAATTAAAATTATATTAATATAATTAATAGTCGATCATATGATCGGTTATTAATTATTTGAATTAGTTATATCTTTAATTTTTTGAGTTTGTAAATCATAATTTAACTTTTAAAAATTAAAATTTCAATTAGTTATGAAAATTGAATTATTGAAAATTAATAATTGAATTTTAATTTATTAATATAATTCATTGTCATTGTGAAATAAGAGATGGGTTATCCACTACTTACTAAATTAATTGGAATATTCTTGAATTATATTTGAATAATGAAGATATGTCCAAGTTATTGAATTCAATTTATTTAAAATTTGTAAGGTTTAACTTATTTTTTGAATAAGATAAAATTTATTAATGTGGACAAATAAAAATAATTATATAATTCTCAACTTATTCAGGGGAGTCAAACTACTAGAATGTCATTGAGTCGTGTTGTATTAAATTTATTTCGGGTCTTAATCTTACCGAATTAACATTTATTTAACATATACCTAACCTATGAATAATCATATCTAGTCAAATTTGTGTTATTTGGTTGAGTATTATGTGTAAATCATGTTTGAGAGTTAATTCTTATCCAGTAATTTCTTTGATAAGATTATTGAGACTATTCGTCTATTATTCAAATCCATTAAAACTAGGGTAAACGACATAAATCATCCCTAAACTTTGCCTTTTGTTTTAAAGTGCACCCTAAACTTTCATTTTTTTTTATTTTACCGCCATAACGATTTAAATCATTTTGATCAACACCATCGATTAGATTTCAGCGTTAAATAAGGATAAAACCCTAATGGTAACTGCAGAAAGGCATATAGTGAAGGGCATTTTCGACATTTCACCTATTGAGTAAGAGTTTAGGTGCCAAAATTCCCTTCCATTACCTCCTGGTGCTCTGCTTTATTTTACCCCGTAGACTCGATTGCTCTATCAGTTGTCTGAATCTGAACCATTTGGTCTGTTACCTATCAATTGTGATGAATTCATGAATGATTTGT